CATCACAATAATCCACAAAAAAGCTGAAACAAATCCATCATTAAGACTTTTTTAACTCCATAATCCATAATAACACTTCCTCCAGTGAAAAAGTGCATCTGCTGTTGTCTCTCACATCAAAATCCAGCCACATATTTATTTAGAGCCGTTTAAACGGAGCTTGATCTGTGCAGATTTCTCTCCTGATTCACACCAGAACACTTTTACACTGGAGGAAGAGTTATTATGGATTATGGACTCATATTTTAGTTAAAACATCTTAATGCTGGATTAGTTTCAGCTTTTGTCTTCTCCAGATGTTATCTGATGTGATGTTATCTGGAGTGCTGTGGATTACTTGTGGATTATTGTGATGTTTTTATCAGCTGTTTGGACTCTCATTCTGACGGCACCCATTCACTGCAGAGCATCCATTGCTGAGACACTGATGCAATGCTGCATTTCTACAAATCTGTTCCCATGAACAAACAAAACACTTTCAACAAATTTTCATTTTGGGTGAACTATTCCTTTAAGTCAAGACAAAACAGATGAATAGGGTAAAATAGACATTACCATGCTTTCCCCAGTTAATTAAAAGCACATGCTATGGACATGCATTATGTCGTGGGTTTGATGCACGAGTGAGTGTGAACTGTTTTCTCTCTCTTTTGTCCACTAGAGATCTGCAAATCAGTGGGGGCTTGTTGGCGCGAGGGCATTTTTTGTCATGTTTTTCCATTTCTCGTGTGCTTTTTGACCAGAGAGCCTCTTTTATTCATTATTTCTGCTGCTGTGGAGGTTGATGAATTGGAGATCGCATGCGGAGACGGCACGCCGAAGCCTTTCATGCCACTGTCTGATCTCTCAGGCCTGCCGCGAGACACAGATAGCGCGGCTCCGCGAGTTTCCTCCGTTCTAGGAGGCCGTTTTTGGGTCAAGGTCTTGAGCGCTGGCAGGAGTCGGGTCGTCTCGGTGTCTGCGAGGCTTACATGACTGTCAGTGGCTTGGCACGAGGGCAGCGTTCAAGAAATGTTCAAGTGTGTGTGTTTGGATGCATGTGTGTGTGACTGAGATAGCGATCATGCTCGGCAGGGCTGGCAGTGACAACGGGTCATGGTTCTGGTCCACAGCTAATTGTCGAACTGATAAACCTGCCCTGGTTTGCTCAGATACTGTCCGATGGGAAGCTCTCTGAATGCTTTTCCTGTGTTGCTGTGGTGCGCTGTGTCTCTCTGCCCTATAATAGAGACCGAATGTTAATGCCTTGTGCCAGTTTTTTTAGAGTACAGCACCATGTGTTTTCATTTTTGTTAAAGAGAGCCAATAAGCATTCATAGACCGAAAGCAATAAGCCCCGAGAGGCCATCTGTTACAGTGATTTTACCATGGTTAAAAAGCATTCTTAAGCCCAGGCTCAAAAGTGAAGAGGTAAATCACTGGTAAAATCACGGTAATACATGGCCTCTTGTGGCTTATTACTTTTATAAAGTAGCAGGAGCAGCAGCAATATCACAAAATACACCAATGTTCAATAAATAATTAGTGGGTCTCACTGAGGCGAAAGTTAGAATTACTGCTTTGAGTAAACGTGAATGTGATTTATGGTTTTCATCTGCTGGACGATAAAATAGGTGGAAAAATCCCACATATGCCCATTTAAGAATCAGAAGATCACAGATACTTGAGGGTGTAGGACTCTCTTCACTCCAGACAAGAAGAAAATACCTAGAAACCACCAGAACACACTTGCAACCATATAGCCGCTTGCACACTTTACAGTTTCTTTGTTTAATATTTAAATGTAGTTACAGTTTTTGAAAATGGCCTCAACTTTCCGTCGTTTCGTTCAGAAGGTCATGCATGCTCAGATGTGTCAGGTGACCAATGCGGAGGGTCAAGCAGAGGTTACGGCTCCCCTTCAATTAGCAGGTAATTAGAGGCCGGTGACGGGGCAGGTGTGATTTAAGACTGACACGTGATGGAAAGCAGCCACGCTCTACCCAGAATCCCCTGGGGCTCTATGTGCTAATGCAGTCTCACCCGTTCACCTCCATCTCCTCCTTCCCCTAACACTCAGACACGGGCCCGTTACATTGCGGCTGACATTGATGTGATGTCAATGCTGCTCCCTGACAAGGTCTGCAGGGCGGTGAAAACTGGTTCCATTTTAGACCCACTTCCAAATTTCCAAGAACCGGGTATTCGATTTCGATTCTGCGTAACGATTCCTGCGTTCGCATTTTAATGTGATTTTAAACTATTTAAGTGCAGGAATGGAAAGAACTTGCGTGCATTTCACTGCAGAAAAGGTTGTTCCGGGCCGGAACTCTTTCATATTTTCATATTTATCGACCAGTATGCTGAAAACTACGTCAGTATATCATCATTTGTCTTAAGTTAACGTAAACAGATGAGAAAGAAAACGCAGATGTACAGTATTTTTAGATCTGCGTGCGTTCGGTGTTAAAGAGAGAGCAGCCTATAAACACGCTGCCTGTCATTAATGTTAATCAAAGAACGAAAGAAAATCATTCACTGATCTTGACTGAATATCTTTCATAATTTGAATTAATCTATATTTATTTATGAAAAGTAAGCTATGCAGTGTTTTTAAACTTTTAATTACAGTTTCTTTGCCTGGAATTTGGTTCAGTTGTATTAATTTATGCTATTGCTAATTGATTTGTTTTTTTCCTATTTTATTACTGACTGTTTACTTGTCTTTAACACTTTAATATTTTAAATTGATATTAGTCTAGTTGTTTTTGCTGTGGTATTTTTGTTCCTCTTGGTAAATGTTCTGTAGGCTGCTGATTTTTTGCTCATGTTATTCAGCTGCAACAGAATGATTTGTATAAATAAATGTTTGACATCTAAAAGTTTGACTTCATTTTTTTACATTGGATTTTTTATCTTATTGCAATCGAAACTACGATTACTGACTGTTTACTTGTCTTTAACACTTTAATATTTTAAATTTATATTAGTCTAGTTGTTTTTGCTGTGGTATTTTTGTTCCTCTTGGTAAATGTTCTGTAGGCTGCTGATTTTTTGCTCATGTTATTCAGCTGCAACAGAATGATTTGTATAAATAAATGTTTGACATCTAAAAGTTTGACTTCATTTTTTTACTAACACTTTAATATTTTAAATTTATATTAGTCTAGTTGTTTTTGCTGTGGTATTTTTGTTCCTCTTGGTAAATGTTCTGTAGGCTGGCTGATTTTTGCTCATGTTATTCAGCTGCAACAGAATGATTTGTATAAAGACAGAATAAATGTTTGACATCTAAAAGTTTGACTTCATTTTTTTATATTGGATTTTTTATCTTATTGCAATCGAAACTACGAATCGATAAGAATTGGAATCGATAAGCAGAATCAGAATCGAAATCGATAAAATTCCAACGATACCCAACCTTACACTCTTAAAAATAAAGGTTCCAAAAGGGTGTTTTTGCAGTGATTCCATAGAAGAACCATTTTTGGTTCCCCAAAGAACCTTTCAGTAAACAGTTCTTAAAAGAACCATTTTGAAGAACATTTTTAAAATCTAAAGAACCCTTTTCGTCTATAAAGAACATTTTCTACATTTGAGAGGTTCCATGGATGTTTAAGGTTCTTCATAGAACCATTGATGCCAATAAAGAAGCTTTATTTTTAAGAGTGTACAGGTGCGGCGAGACGCGGTGTGGCCAGTAATCTGCTGTCCTTTCTGTCTCTCGCTCCAGATTCATTCTCCTTCTGTGTAAATAATTGATGTCTGGCGGCCGGTGGTTAAGAATAGAAAGCGTATTTGCAGGTGACAAATGTCTCTGCGCTTCCCTCTCATGGAGAGACCTGGAGCCAGAGGGCAGATATTAGAACGCGACGGGCAAACACGGGACGTATAGAGCCCAATCCTTCTCAAGTGCTGTTTCATAGTCCTCGAAGGGAATGTCGATTGCCTCTTCCTGTTTGCTTTTCTCCGTGAGCCCCGTCGCTCCGCCAGCGTCAGATAAATATAGGTTTGTGTTTGATGAGGAAGACACCGGTGAGATGAGGTGAGGCAGGGCTCTGATGAAAGCCAGGCGTAATTACAGGGGACGGTTACCCATCTGCAGACAAATATCTGTGGAATTAAATAAACCAGATTCCCTCGGCTGAAGAAGACAGCTGCAGGTTTGTGGGAAATGAAAACTCACATATTTAGTCTCAGGCACCAAACATACTGTATGCAAGTACGTGAACGCAAACGCTTCTAGCCATACAAGATCAAATACGTACAACATGATTTATAAGTATAAGATACGGAGTTTGAAATTGAATTAATTGCCTTCAACACGTTGAAGTTGAACGGAAATGACGGGACAAGGAATTTACTGTCTTTCTGTCAGTCTATCCAAATATCTATCTGTCTGATTGTCTATCTATCCGACTTTGTCTCTCTATCCATCTACTCAACTATCTTTCTATCCAATTGACTATCTATCTGTCTATCTGTCCGTCTGTCCGTCCATCCAAGGGACTAGCTTTCTGTTCAAGTGACAAGTCCATCCATCCATCCATCCATCCATCCATCCATCCATCCATCCATCCATCCATCCATCCATCCATCCATCCGTCCATCCATCCATCCGTCCATCCGTCCATCCGTCCATCCGTCCATCCGCCCATCCGTCCATCCGCCCATCCGCCCGCTTTTATTCATTCAGCAGACATTTCTATCCAAAGCAACTTACAAATGAGGTACAATTAATTTTTAAATGGTTTAGTGTGCAGTGACAAGTTTAAAGTATGAGCTGGACTAGTACACAAGCAAGAGCAGAAGTGAAATGCAGAACATGAATTTGTTTCGTGCCTGTTGGAATACATGTCTTTCTTTACATGCACAAGCTGCATGTGATCACAGTCTCTCCACAACGAGCGTCTGGGTCTGTTTCTCTTTAGTTGTCGCGAACGGTAGCCCACAGCCTTGCAGGCAAACACATGTACATGAACAATCTCTAAAAAACTCCTTCTCATCTTCTCCCTCTGTAGATGACGACTATCTGGGATTGGGTGAACTCCCGGAAACATTCCCCTCGGATCCGCCCGAGCCGCTCCCGCACTTCCTGATGGAGCCAGAGGAGGCGTATATCGTCAAGAACAAGCCCGTTAACCTGTACTGCAAAGCCACACCAGCCACGCAGATCTACTTCAAGTGCAACAGCGAGTGGGTCCATCAGAAGGAGCACACAGTGGAGGAGCGCGTGGACGAGAGCTCGGGTTAGTACCGCCGAGAGTGTTTGGATATTATATATATATATTTATACATTTCCTGTAACACAGCGCTCCTCAATAGGTGGCCCGCGGGCCACATCCGGCCTGTGAGAGAAAAAAGTTTGGCCTGCGCTAATTTCAAATAATGTGGCATGAAAATTCAAACACAGCATCAGAAAGCTACATGAACTTACATCATGTCGCAATAAAATACAAGAACTCGTTATAATCAGTGATGCTGTCTTGGATGTGGTGCGAGACGACAAATCCCCGACAGCAAACTGCTGACTCGTTCTATTTATAACGTACTGACACAACATTCAAATGATTTGCAATGCTTTGTCGCGTCCAGTGTAGATACAATGTGACAGCAAAAACATGCCGAGTGTGTAGAAAAGAAATGTGGACACAGAAAATAGACGATTCAAATGTGAATGGACTGAACAGTTTTGAGTAAATGAGTGAGTGAGTGACATCTTTGTTATGGAATACACGTGTTGGTTCGCAGTGAGTTCACAGTTTTAACGCACAAGTTTGTTTTAATTTATTTTCAAGATCTGAGGTCAAATATCTATTGTTGCTTTCACTATGGATATAAAGATAACGCAAAATAATATTCAAACTCACATTAGACACTTTTAACATTGAATAAAGCACATAATCATTACCTGAGATTATCACTGTCATATTTTGTATGTTGTTCCTGCCGCGATGTCGCAGAAAATTAAAACCGTTCCTAAAATAGAATCCCATGTCGCTTATTGTCGCTGTCGCGGGTGGTTAGGACAAAAACTACAAGGAAAAGATACTTTTTATTGCGTCGTGTCTGGTTGGGACACACGGCGTTACAGTTTGATCCCCCCCCCAAAAAAAATCTAAGCATAAAAATATTAATACTGACAAATCTAATAA